GGGGGGGGGGGGAGGGGGAGGGAGGAGCGCGGGACAGAGGGGTGGGCTTGGATGGGAGAAATAGACAAAAAACTGTACTTGAAAAATAACTAAATTAAAAAAATGTGAAAAAAAGAAAAATAATAAGTAAATAAATAATATTACAAGTGAGATTGTTAATACTTAACATTTACAAAGCAGTTTATTTTACTGCTGTATACATTTACTCTCTCTAGTTTAAAAGAAATTGGCAAGATGTTATTAAACTAGCATCATTTTACAGAATTTGAGGTTCATGGAAGCTGAGTTACTTACCAAAGATAACAAAGTTAGTAAATGGTAGTGCTAGAACACCAACCCAGATATTGTCTCTAAATCCTGCATTTTGTCCCATGTTGCCCCAGTGTAGAAGCAAAATTTAATCTTATTTTTAATTTTACTATATTGATAAATTCAAAAGTTATCAGGTAGAAAGTGCTTTGGGATCACAGAATTCTAGACTCCAAAGGTACCTTAAAAATCATACACTGTGGCAACATAATCTCCTAAAGAGCTCAAATTCTGTAATTAGACTGATGCTACCAAGAAGGCTTTGAACCCAGTGGGGTTTACAAATGACAATCTATACTGGTGTGACTGAGTTACTCATAAGACACAAAACATGAAGATATAGTACTTTGAACACTAGAAAAAGGAGTAAATGAGCATCCGGTTTAAGGATGAAGCTCAAGTAAGCAAATAAGGGAGTTGTAGATTGAAAAGTAAAAGAGAAGTTCAGGTTTGCTTAAGAGCATGGAATTTGAAGTGAGAAAGTTCTGGGTTTAAATGCTACTATTTACTAGTTAGATTACCTGGGATGTTATTTAACCTCTTTAAACTTCAGTTTCATTCTCAATAAAATGGACATAAGTATATGTATATATAAAATTTATTGTGCTAGGTATTAGCAGGATACAGGTATCCTGCTAATAGCACAATAAATTATAGTTTTCAATAATAATAACAATATTATTATTATTCCTACTGTGGTAGAACAACACCTAAACCCCCACCTAAGTTATTTTAAGTGTTTATTGCAGAAAGTATTTATTTTATATATGATTTCTTACCTTAAGAACCATACATAAGAATACGAGGCAACTCAAGACTTACTCGAAGGTGCTCTACTTACCACTATTTTGCTTTACACACATTAACTCATTAAATTTTCACAACTTTATGAACTAGGTAGTATTAATAATTCTATTTTACATATGAATAAGATGAGCAAAAGGAGGGTACATAATTTACTGAGAAGTATTGAAGGCAGGATTTGAATTTGGACAGTTCAGCTCCAGAACTCACACTTTTAACTATTATGACCTACTATCTTACCATAACTCTGTGACCTCTATAACCAACACCTCTGTTGAATGAATAATAGCAAAATGGAGCTCTAAATAGCATAATATGAATGCTTTGTAGTTAATGAATTACAATAATATCTATGAAATGAGAATTAAAAGTGACTATACAGAGGAGACCATAGGCAGGAAAACCTCAGATATTTCACGAAGCAACATTTTTACTGATATGTCCCCTACAGCAAGGGACATAAAGAATAAACTAATGGGATCTCATCAAAATAAAAAGCTTCTGCACAGATAAAGAAAACAGTATTAAGATAAAAAGAAAACCAACTGTATGGGAAAATATATTTGCCAATAATACCTCAGACAAGGGTTTAACCTCCAAAATATACAAAGAACTTACACGACTCCACTCTTAAGACAACTAACCCAATTAAAAAGTTGGCAAAGGACTTGAACAGACATTTCTCCAAGGAGGACATGCAGAGGATCCAGAGACACATGAAAAGATGCTCAATATCACTAGCTATCAGAGAGATGCAAATTAAAACCACAATGAGATACCACTTTACACTGGTCAGAATGGCCATCATAAACAAAGCAACAAACAAATGTTGGAGAGGTTGTGGGGAAAAGGAGACCCTAGTTCACTGCTGGTGGGATTGCAGACTGGTACAACCATTATGGAAAACAGTATGGAATTTTCTCAGAAAACTAAAAATGGACCTGCCTTTTGACCCAGCAATTCCACTGCCAGGATTATGTCCTAAGAACCCTGAAACACCAATCCAAAAGAACCTATGCACCCCAATGTTCATAGCAGCACAATTTACAATAGCCAAGAGTTGGAAGCAACCTAGGTGTCCATCAGTAAATGAATGGATCCAAAAACTATGGTACATTTACACAGTAGAATTCTATGCAGCAGAAAGAAAGAAGGAGCTACTACCCTTTGCAACAGCATGGATGGAACTAGAAAGTATTATGCTGGCGACTTCCGCCAAGATGGAGGTATAGGTGGATGTGCCGTACCTTCTCACACAACCAAGTTTAGGGACAACTAAATATGAGCATCAGAAAACACAACCAGAACACGGAAAATTGAACTTTTCAGAAGTCCAGTAACAACAAATTCTTCAGCCTGACCGGTAAGGGGCGAAACTGGCGTCTCGTGAGGGGTTGCACAGGACTCCGGTCGGACGGACCCAGGCGCGGAATCCAGATGCACGGGTTCCAAACCCAGGATTGGACCTAGTGAGCGACCGAGCAACCCACCAGGTGAGCGACTGCTGAGGAGACAGTGGGGAGGCGGTGCTGCGTGTTGACTGCGGTTGCCTATCTGTGGGCGAGCGGACAGGCGAGGGAGTGGGCGCTTGGACCGGCCCCGGCGGTCCCCCTGGCTTGCGGCAGTAGAGGGCGCCGCCATATCCCCGCTCTGACCACGCCCCCACATACAGCGTCACAACCCAGCGACCTGGGAGTCCAAGGCGCCGCTTCTCCCGCTTAAAGGGCCAGAACAGACCAAAAATGTCGCAGGAAGACCTCAGAGCCCCAGAGATAAATCTAAGCGACGAAGAAATAGCAAAACTCTCAGACGCACAGTTTAAAACACTGGTCATCAGGTTCCTAACAGATCTGGTTGATTATAGCCACAAATTAGAGAAACATATGAAGGCTAAACTAAGGGAAATGAATGGAATTCCACAGAAAACCCATAGAGATGAAAAGGAAACTGGGACTCAAATCAATGAAGTGGCCCAGAAGAAACCAAATAATGGCCAAACAGAAAAGAGTCAAGGAGCAAGAATTCAAAGAAATGAGGAGAGTCTTAGGAACCTCCAGGACATCTTTAAACGCTCCAATATCCGAATTATAGGGGTACCAGAAGGGGGAAAGGCACAGCCACCAGTGGAAAACTTATTTGAACAAATAATAAAGGAGAATTTCCCCAATCTGGCAAAGGAAATAGACTTCCAGGAAATCCAGGAAGCACAGAGAGTACCAAAGAAGTTGGACTCAAGAAGAAACACACCAAGGCATATCATAATTACATTAGCCAAAATTAAAATGAAGGAGAGAATCCTAGAAGCAGCAAGAGCTAAGGGGACAATCACCTACAAAGGAGTCCCCATCAGACTGTCAGCAGATTTCTCAAAAGAGACCTTACAGGCAAGAAGGGGCTGGAAAGAAATATTCCAAGTCATGAAATCTAAAGACCTACAACCAAGATTGCTCTATCCAGCAAAACTTTCATTTAGAATGGAAGGACAGATAAGGTGCTTCTCAGATAAGATCAAATTCAAGGAGTTCATCATCACCAAGCCCTTATTATATGAAATGTTAAAGGGACTTATCTAAGAAAAAGAAGTTAAAGAAACATGAACAGTGAAAGAACAACAAGCTCACAGTTATTAACAACCACACCTAAAACGAAAGCAAACTAAAAGAACAGCTAGATCAGGAGTGGAAACATAGAAATGAAGATCTCAAGGAGGGTTAGCAACAGGGGAGTGGGAGGAGGAGATGGGGGGGGAGGAGGTACAGAAAATAAGTAGCATAGACAGTAGATAGAAAATAGATGGGGGGCAAGAATAGCATGGGAAATATAGAATCTAAAGGACTTGGGACACATGGACATAAACTAAAGGGGGGTAATGGTGGGGATGGGGGGCAGGGTGGAAGGGAATGAAGGGGGGAATAGAACAACTGTAACAGCATAATCAATTTTAAAAAATAAATTAAAAAAAAAGAAAGTATTATGCTGAGTGAAATAAGCCAGGAGGTGAAAGACAATACCATACAATCTCACCTTTAACAGGAAGCTAAACAATAAAACAAGCAAGCAAAATATAACCAAAGACACCAAAATATAGAACAGGCTGACAGTGACCAGAGGGGAGAGAGGAGGGAATTTCAAGGGAAAGGGGGCAGGGTTTACAGGAACAAGTATAAAGGACACATGGACAAAAACTAAGGGGGGTGGAAATGGGAGGGAAGGAGGGAGGGAGGACTGGAAGGGGTGGACTGGGATGGGAATAAAAGACAGAAAACTGTACTTGAACAACAATTTAAATAAATTTAAAAAAACAAAAAGAAGTGACTATATAAAGTAGCTACATAAATACTTATGATTGTACCTGAAAAATAATGTAAAGCTAAAGGTTTGTGAATACTTGTGCTTGGCTTACACATTTTTTAATGGAAAATACCTCAATCTCATTGGAATGGTAGTATAAATTGCAGATAAGGTCAAGATGAGAATGAGAAATGGACAGGAGTACAATAAATATATAGGAACTGTGACAGTAAAAGACTCAGAAGCTCTCTGTGGAGCCCTTACTTCATGCCTGGAAGTGGGGGTGAATTGGGTAAAAAGGCAAGGTACCTAGGAAAACAAAGTACTATGGCCAACAGAGTTCTTTATCTGTGTTCTTTGCTTTCATAAATCTTGGTAACTTTCAATTCTTGTCCTATAGACAAAAGGGCAACAGAAAATATGTTCTGCTCTACCTCTGGGTAAGTTTCCTGAAAACCATCATCCATAACTTCCACTCACCTCAGTGTATTCCTGGAAAAGTTGTTCAAATTATAGGTTTTTATGTAATTAATTCACTTTTAAATAGAAAAGGGGACACAGTGCTGTCAATATAATCCACAATACTCTCTTCTTACCTTTTTCTGCTGAGCTCAAAACAGTGACTGTGAAAAGAGAGAAAAAGGACAAAATTAGTGGCATTTAAAAAATACTATTTTTGTAATCCATTTTTCCATAGCACTATTTTTAATAAAGTTTGTCAATGGTACTTTAAGAAATCATCAGCCTGCTAAGATAAGTGAAGGGAAGGATTAAATTTCATCCTTTGTTATCTTCTTTATCTTAAACCTTGAGTAATTAAGAACTGGTACTCATTAAACAAATATAGGTATAGCCTGATTTAAAATAAAATAGCAGGGACTTCTCCCAAGATGGAGGCGTAGGTGGAAACACTCTGCCTTATCCCACGACTAAGTTTAAAAACAACAAAGTTTTAGCAATAAAAACACAGCCAAACCATAGAAAATTGAACTACACGGAAGTCTGACAACAATGAACCCTTCAGCCAAACTGGTAAGGGGGTAGAGCCAGCAGCAGAGCGGGTTGGGCAGGAAAGATCCACTGGACCAACCTAGGCGAGCAACCCAGGCCCACAGGCAGTGGGTGGATCCCAGGTGTGGAGTAGTGGGCGGACCCACTGAGGGTGCAAGGCGCTGGACCCACTGTGGGCTGACCTAGGTCACACATTCGCACGCAGATAAACTGGCAAAGGAGCGAGAAGTGAGACTGAGACAGACCACACAGGCCCCAGTGGCAGGAAGCAGCAGAGGGAACCGCCATTGTCCCTCTCTGACCCCGCCCCCACATACAGCATCACAAACCAGCGACCTGGGTGGCCCTGCCCTGGTGAACACTTAAGGCTCCACTCCTTATACCTGACAGGTGCGAACAGAGCAAAACATTATGGTTCAAGAAGAACAGCTCAAAGCCCCAGAGCCAATAACTCTAAGTGTCCAAAAAATAGCCAAACTCTTAGATGCACAGTTCAAAACACTGCTGATCAGGATGTTCACAGAACTGGTTGATTTTAGTCACAAATTAGAGAAACATATGAAGGCTAAACTAATTGAAATGAAGGGAAGTGCACAGGAAACCAATAGTAATGGGAAGGAAACTGGGACTCAAATCAAGGGAGTGGACCAGAAGGAAGAAAAAAATGACCAAACAGAAAAGGATGAAGAGACAAGAATTCAAAAAAATGAGGAGAGGCTTAGGAACCTCCAGGACATCTTTAAACGTTCCAATGTCCGAATTATAGGGATACTAGAAGGGGAAGAGGAACAGCCACAAGTGGAAAATTTATTTGAACAAATAATAAAGGAGAACTTCCCCAATCTGGCAAAGGAAATAGACTTCCAGGAAATCCAGGAAGCTCGGAGAGTCCCAAAGAAGGTGGACCCAAGAAGGAACACACCAAGGCACATCATAATTACATTAGCCAAGATTAAAATGAAAGAGAGAATTCTAGAAGCAGCAACAGATAAGGGGACAGTCACCTACAAAGGAGTTCCCATCAGACTGTCAGTGGATTTCTCAAAAGAGACCTTACAGGCAAGAAGGAGCTGGAAAGAAGTATTCTAAGTCATGAAATCCAAAGACCTACAACCAAGATTGCTCTATCCAGCAAAGCTTTCATTTAGAATGGAAGGACACATAAAGTGCTTCTCAGATAAGATCAAATTCAAGAAGTTCATCATCACCAAGCCCTTATTATATGAAATGTTAAAGGGACTTATCTAAGAAAAATAAGATTAAAAAAGATGAACAGTGAAAGGACAGCAAACTCACAGTTATTAACAACCATACCTAAAACAAAAGCAAACTAAAAGGACAGCTAGATCAGGAGCAGAACCATAGAAATGAAGATCACATGGAGGGTTAGCAACAGGGAAGTGGGAAAAGGAGAAGGGAGGAGAAGGTACAGAAAATAAGTAGCATAGATGGTAGGTAGAAAATAGATAGGGGGAGGGCAAGAATAGTAGGGGAAATATAGAATCTAAAGAACTTGAGACACATGGTGATAAACTAAAGGGGGAATGGTGGGGGAGGGGGTGTGCAGGGTGGTGGGTAATGAAGGGGGGAAATAGAACAACTGTAATGGCATAATCAATAAAATATATATATCTATAAGAAAATAGCAAATGGAAACACTTAAAAGTTAAGAATTTAAAAGCTGATAAGTTAGGAGATGACTTTGCATTTCTCCAAACTATTCACTATAGAACATCTTTAAATACTAAGCATCTTTTGTGTATTTACAGGTAACATAGTGTAGAGGTTGCATGCTGGCTCTGAAGTCAAACTGTCTCAGTGAGAGGCCCAGTCACACTATTTTGTGACCTAGTGTAATCCTTAACTTCCCTAACAGTACCTACTTCATAAGTTTACTTGACATTTAAAATGAGTTAATGCATGGAAATACTGTTTAGCATAGTATCTGGCACAAGGCAAGTATTTAACTAAGATTTCATAGAATATCAGAAATGAGAGAGAATTTAGGGATTATCTCATTTATCTGTATCATTTTAAAGATGGGAAAAATGAATTAGAGTAGTATCAACTAATTTGCTCAAGGTCATATGGCAAGTTAGTGGTAGAGTTGGGATTAGATTCCAGCCTCATAGGCTTTTTCCATGTGCTGTGTCTACCTTTCACAATCATTTCTTCCTGGCATATTGTGACATATACAAAACTTTCATTCAAAATGTCATTTGTGCAAAGTGAGACCTACTTGTTTTTACTCACTAACAAACATCTGTATGCACTTGTACTAGATACTAAGGTCAGGTGAAATTGTAAAGCATGACTATCAATCATGAAATGTTATTAAATTAAGATAGTTTGGGCACACAATGATAAATACTTAAAGGCCAGAAAAGTTGGGTTAAAAATAAACAGGGAATTTTACTGTATTGTAGAAGCTATTTCCTTAGATACTTCATCAGTTATACCTCCTGTTTTTCTTCATTTGCACATCTATTTTTGTTGAGTCTTTAAACATTCTTCTTTTAATGATCATTTGAATGGACTTTGTGAAACTTGTTCCATTTTTTTTGATCTGCGCTAAAAATCAGACAACATAGTGTCCTTTTTTGGTAATAGATCTATCTGGAGATTTACAGCAATTACTTTTTTGTTTCCAGTTAATGAATTTTGCTTAAAAATGATGAAAAGAAGCACATATACAACTTAGACAATAAAAATAGAAGTGGAAACAAGAATCCTTGATAAGTTAACCTGGAAACTCATGACTTTTACACATACATGTTACATGACTACATCAATTCTACCAGACCCTGCATTTGGTTAATAACATCTCTTTCAAAAGGAGTGAGAGAGAGATAATAGTAGCTTGGAGGTCATCTTAATAAAGAGTAGCTGACATTCTTCTGGTTGGTGAACAGGTGGAGGTGCAGGGAGAGTGGTACACCTGCAGAGGGCATGGAAATTCTATGCTCCTTCCTACTACCTTGCCCTCTGCATCTCTTTGTTTGGCTATTCCTGAGTTAAACTCTTTTATAATAAATCAGTAATCTTGTTCAGCATAACACCTGGCAAATATAAGCCTTTTAATAAATAATGGCTGAATAGATGAATGAATCAATATTAAAGATGCCCCCCCAAAGACTCCAGTATCCTCTTTGGTACAACATTATAATTAGAAACCACATTTCTAATCAAGGTTTCAAAATTAAATAGTAAGATCAATGTCAGCTTGTAAAAGCAGGGACAAGTAAGAGCAGTGGCTCATTCTCGTTTTTATTTAAGAAGTCTACTAAATCAACAGCAATCAAGACTCAACTACAACAGGAGGGTTCACATAAGACATACTCCTGGATCACTTGGATCAGAAAATAAGGGAGACTGCACCAATGAGCCCCTACTACATAAGACCACTGTGCAAAGACTGGGAGATGTAGCAGATCTACCTAATACATAAAAATAAATACAGGGAAGCAGCCAAGATGGGAAGACAAAGACTTATGTCCCAAATGAAATAACACAAGAAATTTTAAGAAAAATAACTAAAAGAAATGAAGGTAAGCAATCTACCAGATACAGAGTTCAAAACAATACTTCTAAGGATGCTCAAAGAACTTAGTGAGAACTTCAACAGCATAAAAATGACACAGAAACCATAAAAAAGGATAAGTCAGACATGAAGAATACAATATCTGGAACAAAGAAGACATTAGAAGAAATACAGAATAGATTAAATGAAGCAGGGGATCGAATCAATGTTTTGGAAAACAAGGTAGGAGAAAACAACTAATCAGAACAGCAAAAAGAAAAAAAACAATTTTATTTTTTTGAATATTTTATTTATTTGTTTTTAGAAAGAAGGGAAGGGAAGGAGAAGGAGAGAAACATCCATGTGTGGTTGCCTCTCGCATGCCCCCAACTGGGGACCTGTCCAGCAACCCAGGCATGTACCCTGACTGGGAATCGAACTGGCAAACCTTTGGTTCTCAAGTCTGTGCTCAATCCACTGAGCTACACCAGCCAGTGAAGATATACTCAGGGGGGTATGAGGGGACTAAATGGTAAGGGGAAAAATAGAATATAGATTAAATCAAAAGAAAAGAAAACTTCCCTAACATGGTGAATGAAAAACACACATAACTCCTGGAACCACACAAAGTCCCAAAGAAAATGAACCCAAAGAAGTTCACACTAAGATACATAATAACTACAATGACAAAGGTAAAGACAAAGAAAGAATCTTAAAAGCAGTGAGAGAAAAGCACTTAGTCACCTGCAGGAGACCCACATAAGCCTGTCACCTGATTTCTCAGCAGAAAATATTGGCCAAAATTTAATATAACCAAGACTACTCTACCCAGGAGGGCTATCATTTAAAACTGAAGGAGAAATACCATCCCAGACAATAAAAACTAAGAGTTAATCACCAACAAACCAGTAATACCAAAAAAATGTTCAAGGGACTTCTATTAGAAAAAGAAAAAATTTTGGTGGTGAACATGCAATGCAATATACAGATAATATATTATAGAATTATACACCTGACATATAATTTTATTAAGCAATGTTGCCATAATAAATTCAATAAAAAGGTAAAAGAGTAATAATAAAGTTAAAATGT